GAGAGGAGGGCCAACTGTGGATCGACAGTAGCATAAGAGCCCGGAGGGGGGGGAAATCTCAATCACCCCTCCGTTTCTGGAAGGGTATAAGTGAATGTTTCGAAAGAATAAAATAACGGTAGAATTTGCTGTCCTTTCATGATATCCCATATCTAGAGACAGAGAGATTTGCCGCCTGCTCCCTAATGGTAGGGCCGGCCCTCATTTGGGTCATTCAGTTTGTCTCGTTGTCCTAGGTAATTACATATATGTATATTATTTTCTCCCAGGCCTGTACTTCTGGGATTAGGCATTTTATAACAGAGCTTAAATCTCACAGTTTGTACTGGGAAGTCAGACCTGTGGTATCACACTGCTCCAACATTGGGGGTGGTGGTGGTGGTTTTTCTGCACATAAGGGAGAGAGCATTTTGCACATGCTCAGGAAGGCCGCCAAGCACATTTTTGCTAGGTCTGTCCTTTGATCCCTAGAGTTTCGACCCTGTTGAGCAAAAGCCTGTGGATAAACTTTCCCAGCCTACTGGTCCTAAATGTTATTCCCAAATCTGGTTTCCTCCAGAGGTATATGACTAGAAGCCCCCATCAGCCTGTTGCAACTACCACACTCTCCAAGCCAGAGTAGATAATGACTTTGCAGTTTGGGGGATTCTGGAAAGTGTAACATGTTAGGGGTGGTGATGGTTGTTGTAGTCAAAAATATCCAGAGGGCAGCAGGTTGCTGAAAGCTAATTTTAACAAGCAGAAGGGATAAGAGCATCAGCTGTTAAGACCTAGAAGGTGACAGGAAGGAGAAAGGAAGTCTGTGACTGAGGTAGGTTTATAAAATTAATGATTACGTGCCGTCAAGTTGGTTGTGACTTATGGCGATCCTTTCTAGGGTTTTCTAGGTAGGAAATACTCAGACCTGGTTTCCCATTCCCTGGGCAGCTTACAAGGGCTGGCTTTTCTCCCTGAAGGCCCAACCGTCTGGCCCTGCAGCCAGAAATCTAACTCAGCAGCCGGCTATCCGAGTTTATCAAGACAACGGCTATCTAATTGACCCCACTGCGAAAACAACACTACTTTGCTCACCATGTTATGTGTTCTGTAGTGGAATATGGCAGTTGCGTTCATTCCATCTGGAGGTGTCCCGCTTTTGAATTACTTGTTATTTCTACACGCATCCCACCTTTCCTCCAGGGGAGCCCGTGTTCGCCTCCCCATTTTCCTTCTCACAACAACCTTGTGAGGTAGGCAACTCTGAGAGATTGTGACTGTACCAAGCTCATCCATAAACATGACCCTCTGAACAAGGATTTCACTCCAGGTCTTCTCGCTCCTCGCCTGGCAACCGAACCCGGGGAAGGACCGACACCTGAGTTGTCAAACTGCCTCTGGGTGAGAGCAGGCTAGAGAGATTAATAGTTAAAACTGGGGCCAGGAGGGGGCCAACGCCCTTCTTTCCTTGCATGATTTACAGAGGCCTTGCCCATAGAACAGGACAGGGAGATGGACTCTCCTGAACCCTAGACTGGGCCCAGATGCCAGGAGTGGGAAACCAACATATCTGTTCTCCTTCCATCCCTCTCTGTCACCGGTGGGCAACTTGGGAAGATTTGGGGGCCAGTTTTCCTCCACCGGGCTTTACAGCCACCATTTTATAACAAATAAAAGACAGTTCTTACAAGTTTCCGGGATCAGAAAATGGCCTCTTTTTTTAATTTAGAGGGAGGACGCATGGTTAGCAGCATATTCGTTGGTCACCCCTGCTCTGGATATTTTGTCCTGTCTTTCTACCCTTGGTTATCCTTAGTAGTATTCTGTAGGTGACCAGTGTGTGGGACTGGAGGCATACTTGTTTCACCCTGTGTGATCCCTTAGACTTGCTATATTAGTGCGTTGCAGTGTGGTGTCTTTATGCATATACTTTTTGTTTTATTTTATTTTCTTTCTCTTTTTTTGCAAGTGGGAGGTTGGGTTTAAGTGATGGCTCTGTGTTTCCAGTCGTCCAGATGTTTGGCAGCTGTTGGGACGTGACCCAAAACACTTTATCCCCTGGACTTAACCCTTGGTTTTTTTGTTTTAATTTATCTTGAAGCTTTGACTCACAGAGCGAGATGCCTCCCCGAGCAGTTGGTATGGAAAGGATAAAACACCAAGCCAGATCCCTCCCAAGCTCCTGATAGGAGCAGGAGAATGAGAATCAGCTTATGCCCTCTCCAATCGATGTGCCTGTGAACAGGGCTGGCCCTATTGCTGGGCAGAGCGGAGCATCATCCTTAGGCAACAGATGTGGTGTGTCTTGAAAGGGCAGGAAACTGTTTATTATTTGCTTTGGTACGATTATATTTTTACTACAAACGGACAAAGAGAGGATCTCTTGTGGGGTTTTCGGCCTCAGGTTCCAGATAAGTTATCTAGTTTTAGGTACTGTGCATCTTGACTTAGATGGATCAAAAGGAACGTTTACTGTTCTCTCTCAGGCAGTAAAATGTTGTGGGTTGACCATGGGGAGAGCAATGGCGCAAGGGCAGAAAACATGGGGAGCAACAAGGAGATTTCCTTTCCACAAGCTTTATTATTATTATTTTCTTTAAAAAATGCTCCCAGGTTTCTTTTGAGGTGTGTATTAAACTTACAAGGAATTGCTGAAGGACAGTTTATTCTCTTTGATCTACCTGTAGTTCTACCTGCTGCTAGAGGTTCATAAACACCACCCGCTTAACTCAGCTTTGCATTAGATCTTTCTTTTCCGGAGCCCCTAAACTGTTCATGCAGCTTGGCCTTCGTAGTTTATAGCGAGAATCTCGCGGGAAAATTCTAGGGGTTGTACTTAAAAACACTGCCACCTCCAGCCTTTCCAGGCTGTCACCAGGCCTGTGCCAAATGACCAGCATACAGTTTTATATATCACTGCCATTGCTGTATACAGTGGTGCCTCGCTAGACGATGATAATCCGTTCCACTGAAATCGCTGTTTAGCGAAATCATCATCAAGCGAAAAGCATTTCCCCATTGGAATGCATTGAAACCTGTTTAATGCGTTCCAACGGGGAAGAATTGTCATTGTCTAGCGAAAATTGGCCATAGGAAAGCCGCTTTGCGAACCGCTGATCAGTTGTTTAAATCGCTGTCTTGAGAAGCTTAGGTCCCGAAAACACCTGTTTTGCGAGCGCGGAGGGAGCTGGCAAAATCATCATCTAGCGAAAATCGCTTTGCGAAGCAAGGACCAAACATTGTCCAGCGAAATTCCCCCATAGGGATCACTGTTTTGCGAATCGCCATGCTGATTGCAAAAAGTCAATGTCTAGCGAAAAAACTGTCATGCGGGGTAACTGTCTAGCGAGGCACCACTGTATTGAGGTGGAAAAGAAGCACAGAAATTGTAAGGAGGTGGCCATAGTTAGGTCCTGGGTGTGAATGATCAGGGGAAGGGTTCAGATTGTAGGTGAAAGGAGGAGAAAAAGAAAGAGACGAGGAACACCAGGAGTTACAGTTTTATTTGAGGACTAAGCAGTTGATGTAAAGCAGCTTCCCCTAACTCAGGGCTCCCCAGATATGAAGGATTACAAATCCCTCAGAGGATGCTGCCTGGGGATGATGGGAATTGCATCCTAAAGGGCCAGCTTCGGGGACGTTAAGCTAAAGTTTTAATGAGACTGGTAACTTTCAAAGGGGTTCTGAATGAAGAGTCTAGAAGGCTCGAAGTC